GAGACAAGGACCATTTGGATGTGGGGAGATGGATGAAGGGCACTCTAGACAGAGGGATCAGGCTGAACACAGACAGGGAGAGTGGACATCTTGCCAAACAGCCATTGGGTGATTTTGGCTCTTTGTGCATATGCGGGAGATGAGGGCAGAAAGGGAGGGTGCGCCTTGGCTGCTCAAGCAACAGTGTCTATCCTATGGGTACTGGGGTGCCCTGGAGGGTTTTAAAGCAGAGGAGTGGCTGTATTTAGTCTAAACAGTGAGTGGTTTGGGAAGTGAAGGGCCTCGCTCAGGCCAGGTGTTTGTGGGGAGGAGGTGGATCTGGTTGTGGGTTGAGTCTCTCTCACTGACTCTTGAGGGCTGCAGTGCATTTCTTTATCATTTCTCCCCTAGTTCATGTCACCCGGGCTCCAGGGGACACACTGCCTCTCATCGGGGCCTCCTTCTTCACTTCTGTTCTCTCTCTGCTATGTCTTCTTCCATTACTCTGCCTTTGACCAGACAGTAGTGGTGGGGGCCTCGCATCCCTTCCCTCTTCCCTAGGCTTCCCTGATATGTGATAGAGGAAGCCTGGTGGTGAGGTTCGTGGGCTCAGGAGAACTTTTATTTCTTGTTATTTAACAAACTTCTTTTTAGTACTTACTGTGTGCCCAGTACTATTCCAGTCAACATACATGTTAACTCACTCTTCATAACAACCATGTGAGGTGGGTACAGTTATTATCCACCTTTTCTAGGTGAGGAAACTGAGCCCAAGAGGTTCAATAATTTGCCCATGGTTACAGCTGCTAGTCAGTGACAGCCAGGTTTGAACCCTGATGCTCTGGCTGCAGACTACCCTTCACTCCCTTGTATGGGAGTGAAGGGTGGTCTGCAGCACCCCTCCTCCCATCATCCTAGATCAAAATGGACTCACAGATGACGAAGCAGGCACTGAATGAAATTGAGACGAGGCACAACGAGATTATCAAACTGGAAACCAGCATCCGAGAGTTGCATGACATGTTTGTGGACATGGCCATGCTCGTGGAAAGCCAGGTACTTTTCTCTGCTTTCTCAGCCACACTGCCTGGCTGCCACCCCCAGGTCTCTGGGGTTCCCTCTCCAAGTCCCACTCCTCCCTATGCACATGTCCTCTGCAGGGTGAGATGATTGACCGCATTGAGTACAACGTGGAACATTCTGTGGACTATGTGGAGCGAGCTGTGTCCGACACCAAGAAAGCTGTGAAATACCAGAGCAAGGCCCGGAGGGTGAGCCAGGGCAGGTGGCTTGTGGGCAGGTGGGCCAGAATAGAGTGGGTTGGGCTGGGCTTGGGCCAGGGCTGAGGTGAGTGATGACATCCTATGAGGCCTTATCTCTGGCTCTGACCTCTTCCTTTTTCTGTTTTTTTCTCCCCTCTGCCTTTTCCTCACACCCTCCTTTCCCACCTTTTTCCTAATCTGTCTGTCTGTCTGTCTATCTGTCTGTCTGTCTCCTCTCTGTTGCCTTTCCTGCCTGCAGAAGAAAATCATGATCATCATTTGCTGTGTGGTGCTGGGGGTGGTCTTGGCGTCATCCATTGGGGGGACGCTGGGCTTGTAGGCCCCCCCACCCCTATCTTTCCCAGACCCTTTCCCCACCACATTGGGAGCAATACCCCCATCACACCTTCCACTCCATCCCCTGCTCCAGGCTCAGCCTCAAGACAGATCCAGGCAGCCCCCTTTTAGCCCCCTCATCAACCCCGGAGTCCCTGGACCTCGCTGTGCCATGGACCACCCCCCTGCACATAGATAGCAGCAGGCGTGATTACACATGCACACCAACATGCATGCCGCCAGCACGTGACCGAGACGTGTGGACACCCCAGCATGTATGTGTGTACATGTGTAGATGTGTGTAAAAGCACCGAGTCACCCTTCTTGCCTTCCACCTCAAGTCTGTTTGTGGTCTGAGCTTCTCTCCTTCACATGGGTGTGGTGCAGCCCACCCAGCCCCACTCTGTCCTCTGTGAATAGGTGTGCATATGTGTATGTGGCCACAGATATGAAGACACACGATTTGTGTACATGGAATTTTGTGTTTGTTCAAATCCCATTCAACAGCATTTCTTCCACTAGCACCCTCTCCCCCCTGTCACTGCAGATGGGGTGGGTTGTGTGTGAACAGATGCCCACACTCACATTCCCAGAGGATCCAGGTGGGCCCAAATACACATAGGCTGTGGCAGACATTCAGGCACAATGTAGAGCAAACCCTACTAGGTTAAATTACCCCAGGGGCTAGCACGTGTCCCTGGAAGTGTGTGTGTGTGTGTGCACACTCAAGTGTGCTGAGCCCATGCAGTTCAGCCAAGGCGAATGAAAACATTCATGTGTAAATAACCTAGCTCGCCTGTATATACATGTGCATTTCCCCCAGCAGGTGATGTGAAGAACGTGTGTGTGTGTGTGTGTGTTTCAAGGATGTGCCTGAAGTGTTAGTAGGTCTTCTCCTCAGACAGAGCCCTCCACATTGTGCACTGGACACCTGGTTTGGGTGGGTGCAGAACCCTATATATATTTCAATGCTGTCTAGAATATGTCTGTGCGAACGTGTGTGTGTGTGTGCCTGTATGTATAGAGGCTTTCTACATAGTGTGTTTCTTCCTCTGTGTTTTATACACACACATTTATCTTTTAAGGGTGGGTGCCCCATCCAGGTTTGTTTATTCAGATATTTTGCCTCTCCCGCACTTCCGAGAGCTGCTGACCAATATCTGGTGTGGCCACACACCACTCCATCCACACTGTACAACTGGAGCTTCCTGCCCTGTCAGGTCTTAGAGCCCCTGTGCACACATACCCAGTTGTTGATCTTTCTCTGTGTCTTTGCCAGAGGCTATGCCTGCACCGGTGAAGTGCTCACATACGCCATGGCTGAGCTGGCCTTGTGCAGGGGCAACTCCCAGGCACACACACAAACACTGGAGCAAGTGCCTGCTAACACGGCATGGGGCCCATACAAGGCCCTGCACCCATTTGCAAAGAATGCTGTCTAGAAGGGCCATTTGTGTGAGATGTTACTGAGGAGGCCAATGTCTAGTGCTGCCCCAGACAGACTGGAAATGTGCATTCCTGCCTTCCACATACTTACCTCAGAACCGAAAGAGGCCAGTTTGTCCCCACCACCCCATTTGATGCTCTGGGTTCTCCTCAGGGACCTTGGGCTTCGGGAACTGTTTGTTTCAGACATACTAGAATGGCAAGTGTGGCAGCATCCACTCAGGTTGGGCTAAGTCCAGGGACCTGTGTCCTGGACACATCCACTGGCCCAGGGTGAGGCTGAGGGTAGAGAACAGGCCTGGGTTTCTCATGGTAAGGAAGGGCTAGCTCTTCCCTCATTATGTAGACAACACGTGCATGGTGGCTCTGTGTGCTTGGTGGCAGGTGGGAGGTACATGGGCAAAGGGCAGTGTTAGAAGCACTCCTCCGCCACTCCACGGCCCAGGAACATATGCAGGACTGAAACACACAAGCACAAGAATGCACTGTGCCCTGGGGTTGTGAGTACATGTCCGTGGGGTGGAGGATGGAGGACTCATGCATGTGTGTGCAGATCATTTCCCAGGGTCCCACTTCATGTGAAGCGTGTGAGGGAGAGAGAGAGAGATGGTGCAGATTGTGACTTCTGGAACACGATACCCCTTCCCCACCACACCCCAGCTTAGATAGCCAACCTCTTCCCTACCTGGCTATTTGGGTCCTGCCTATGTGAGGCCAGTATATGTAACCCCCCCGTGTGGGCTGAGGAGGGGAGCCTGCCTTTCTGTTCTCAGAATGTCCTTCTGCAGGATAGGAGGTTTGCCCCCGTGCCTGGCTATAGCCCTTCTGCTCCCACCTCAGGCATCCCTAGGGGTGTCAGAGCAGGCCCCAGCACCCCAATCCCACCCTTTTTCCTCCCTGCTGCTCAGCCACGATCACTCTTCAGCCCAGGTGTTTCCGGAATTCCCACAGCCTTGGGGCCACAAGAAGGGTGGAGGCATGGCTGGAGTGATGATATTGCTTCCTTGTGTTACTGCATCAGCCCTGTAGTTTCCCATCTCCAGGCCTCAGTTGGACTGGAAGATCCTCAAGGGTCTGCTATGCCCCAGTGCCCCAGCTTCTACAAGTCCCACACATTATATGATGTGTTTGCTTGTTGGCTGCTGTGTCTGTATGTGTCCTGGAGTGTTATCTGGGGGCTGGTGTCTTCTGCATGTTCTCAAGACAAATGTGTGCTGCCCACCATCAATGTACCTACAACCATCAAGCCCATGTGTGCCCCATGGGTGGTCCCAGGCCTGGCCAGGGCTCACTGCTTCCCCCCCTTCTCCCTAGCCCTGCCTCTTACGAAGCACACTGTATGTCTATTCCATGTGCCTGTGGGTCGATGCACACTCTTGCCATGCCTTGAGCGTGTGTACATGATGTGTTTTATGCATTCACCCTTCCCCACCAGTCTGCCCCGCAGAAGATGAGACACGTGGCCCCTGGCTCCGTTCTCCCCAACCCGTTCCCCTGCCTGCTGTGCAGCTGTGTGCATTGGCGTGTGTTTCTGTGTCGCTGGTGTGTCACGTAATGTAGGTGTGTTTGCTGACATGACCCCCCACCCCTTCTGTTTCTTTGTTGGTTTCTAGAGCTCTTTCCCTCTCCCCTGGAAGGGGCCAGGACTCCTGGGGCCTGGCTGGGGGCCCAGAGCCAGGCCACCCTCTCTTGTTAGTCCTCAGAATCCCATTTCTCTCTCTTGGTGACCAAGTTGCAAACAGATAAAACACAGGAAAATTCTGCCCCCTCCCAGCCCTGCATGTCCTGTCCCCGGAGCCCCCAACCCCCACCCCCGGGCCGAGTTGGGCCCTGTGGGATGGGAGAAATAGCAACCAATCCAACAGCGGGCATGCTGTGTGCTCACTTCCTTCTGTCGCCTCATGGGACTGTGCTGTGGGGAGGGGGACATGTGGTGGAAGGCAGGTGGGGAAGCTGCACAGGCAGGTGGACACAGGCTTGGATACAGAGTTTTAATTGAGGGCTTGCCCAGATACAGCATTACTGGGACACCCTCAGGCAGAGATCTCACAACACCACAGAAACTGATTTGGGTAAAGGGTTGGGAAGAAGTAAATATAGACGGATTTCCTCGGGCTTCATTGAAGAGAATTCAAAGATAAATGTCTAAAAGTGATAAATGACGTAACTAATGAGAATATGACACCAAGGAGGGCCAAAGGTGGCAGGAAGAGCCAGAGGGCCTCTGAAGGTCACATGGGGACAGTCAGAAGGCCTGCACGGGGCCTGTGAAACTTCTACCCACTTCCTGCTTGACAAGCCAGAAATGGATGGGAGCAATTCAGGGCACTGGGGAAATCAGACCCTTGCCAACCAGCCAGCAGGCCTGGGCTGAGAGTGAAGATGCCCCTGCCCTAGAACTTAAGAGGCATCAGGATGCAGACTCAAATGTGGAGCACTGTAGGATGGCCCGGCTGGCATCAGACCCCTCCTTCAGATCTAGAATGCAGCCTTTTCTCACTACCCAGGGTTTGAGGGCTGTGAACCTGGACAGACATGCCACGCTGGGCTCCAGGCCCCGGCTCCACTATCACTGGGCTGAACCCTCCATGGCCTGGACCCAGCGGATGGTGCGGGTCCGGCTCTCCTCCCATGAGAACAGGGGCTCGTAGCCAAAATGGCGCTGAGCCTTATTGGTGCTGACAGTGAAGGTGGTGTTGGCCACAGCCAGCGTGTAGGGGTTCAGCAGGGGTGTATAGAGTAGCAGTGGCCTCAGCAGCCATTGCAGCAGGGCATTGAGGACAGCCAGAAGCACCAGCACCCAGTAGGGCAACATTGGGCGGGTGCCCACCAACCGCAGCCCACAGGGGCCCAGGAACTCCATGTTGAAGTCCTCGTAGCTCTTATAGGGTGATTTGTCATAGCAGAAGTACACCTGACCACCCATTATTGCAGCTCGCTGTTCTAGCTCCCGGGCCACCAGCACATGCATCCAGGCCACATTGCCTGACAGTGGGGAGAGGGGGACATGTGTGAGTGCCCTTGTGACACAGGCCAGCCCACATAACAAGCAACCTGCTCTTTGGGCCCATGGAAATGCCACTCAGATAACTACAGCCCTGGTAAAAGGCTGCTTTCTCCCCAGCCCCTGTAGCCACCTCCTCTCTGGGGCCAGCCTGTATGGATGCTTTCCTTTCTTCCTGGGGAGATGCTGCTCCCATGTCTGCAATCCTCTCCTCAGTCTATGGCATATTTTTCACATCAGCTTTCCAACTTGCATGGATACTGTTTCCTCTGAGGCCCCTTGCAGACAATGGCCACATACCATATAGTCTATCCGGCCCATGTAGAGACCAACTTTTCTAACTGGGGTATACATACCAACAACCCTCCCAGAACCACATGGGTTCTGCCTTATTGTTAGTCTCCCCGCTGCCTAGCCCAGGCCTCACCCACATAGACCCGGCCATGCTCCACAGAGGCTGGGATGGCCCGGAACAGCCGACTCCCCAGGCGCAGGCCCTGGTGGTAGAAGTCCCTCATGATCTGATGGCCTTCACCATAGATGCCGGTGGGACGCAGGGCACATGTCACCAGGGGCAGCCCACCACGCACCTAAAGGCAAAAGTCAGGCACTGCTAAGACCTAGGATCCAGTGGCCCTCCTCTGCCCTGGCCTTCTCAAACGAGGTCCTGTAAGAGAGGTGCCCAGGGCAGGATGCAAGGAAGCCTGGCTAACCCTGGCTCTGCCTCTGACTGGCAGCCCTCCCCACCCCCATCTCTGAATCTCATTTTCTCCAGCCTCACCTTCCTTCCACTGGCTTCCAGGACCAGCCGCTCAGCTAGGGCCTTGCTGCGAGGATAGGGGTGTCTGTGTACTGCTTCATATGGGGTGTCCTCATTGCCCCTAGTGTGGGGAGAGGGAAGATTATTAATGCTGAGGGGAGATGGGGCTCTTAAAGTATAGGGGGAGCTCAGCTCACCTGTAGAAGGGGTGGCCTTTGACGTTGGGCCCCACAACTTCCATGCTGCTTGTGTAGACCAGGAACTGTGTTCCAGTCTGCACACAAGCCTCAATCACGTTCTGTGTACCTGGGGGATGTGGAGCAGGGGTGGGGGTAGGGTGGGATGGGGGTGGAGGGTTGGGTTATCCAAGCTAACTCTTCCTCCCTTTCTTGATCTCCACCCCACCACATCCTGGCCTCATCCCAAATCTGGTTGAGGGCACCTAGCTTCCTTCCCCAGCTCCAGGGGAAACCACACAGGACAGTGAGGGCTGGCCTGCCATTACAGGGCAAGAGTATCCATAGGGCAAGGTTATTAGGGGAGAATCACAGAGGTCAAGTTAAAAGAGGGGGTGGGGAACAGACAGACAAGATCAGGCCATGAACCAGGGAGTGTTGAGTGCATTATTAGAGTAGGTTGGGAGCACCTCACCCTGTACGTTGACCTCATGGATGGTCTTGGGACTGGCCCTCCCAAACACGTCTACCAGCCCGGCTGTATGGATGACCACATGGGTTCCAGCCACAGCTGCTGTCACCTCATGGGCCTGGGTCACATCCCCCTGTATGGCAGTCACCTGCACAGGCCCTGATAGGGTAGGAGCAGCCAGAGGCAATACCAGAGTTGAGGCCATTGGCCAGCTGCTGGGTTCAGCCTAAACCCTTGGGAGCCACATGTTCCTCGTGTGACTCATTCATCCCATCCCATCCCTGTGCATGCATGGGAGAACATAAACAGGCATCATCTTTTCCACCACAGTGAAGGGAGTTGCCCCCCTTCCCTCTCTACCACAATCACCTGTCTTCAGCTCCTCCAGCCAGGAGCCCAGGTGCAGGTCAAAGATCCGCAGCTCACGGAGCCGGGGTTCCCGCTGCAGCAGCATTCGCACCACATGCTCCCCCAGGAAGCCACAGCCACCTGTGACCAGGTACACCAACTTCTCGGCCTGTGCGGGATCAGCCATGCCTGACTAGGGAAAAGAGACCCTGGCTCACCTAGCGTGCCTGCTGCCACCTGTTACTCTGAGCAGGGACCTGTGGCTTAGCGGGCTGGAGAAGCTGCCCAGGGACCAGAGGTGTTCTGGGGACTGTAGCGCCAGGTCCCTGCCCTCTCACTCTGCCAAATGCAGTTATGAGAAGAGTGAGGACCTCGTGTGCAGGAAGGGCTCAAGGGTCAAGGGGGAGGAGGAGGTTCTGGAACAAAAATGGATGGTAGGACGCAGGTTGTTCCTACCAAAAAAGGGAGGAAGAGGAAGGAGGGAAAGGCTGGGATTAGGGGAAGGAACCCCTGGACCCTGGCATCATGTCCGCCTACCTGCCACCACAGCCCGAGGGTGCCCAAACTGGCCATGGGAGGGGCTATCTTCTGTCGCTGGGGCCAGCCAGCCAGCAACACACCATCCCCTTCCGCCTGCTCCCCCTCCCTCCTGGCCCATTCCAGGAACAGACCAGCCCAGCCTCCACCCCTCCATCCCCAGCATTCTTGCCACAGGGCACCCCCTAGTGACCACTCTGCATTCCGCCAGCATCTGGTTCCAGCAAAGAACTTGGGGAAGGGCCTGTGGCAGCCAGAACATGCTGGGTGGGCACTGAGGGGTTTCAGCTGCAGAATGGAGGTTGGAGCAGTGACCTCACTCCCCACTGCATGAAATCAGTCCTTCCCTCTTACTGGGTTTCCCAGGAGGCCATTAGCCCAGCAGCCCCTGTGATTCTGGGAGGGGAAGAGAGGCCTGACCTTGGCCCAGCTCTGGCTGGCCTTGGTGGGGGATTTCTGGATGACTGTTCCAGCCTATTAGGTGGCTGAGTCTCCAGGTTTGGGCTCTTGCCTGAAAACCCTTCTATTCACCCCAAACTTAAGAACACCCATCTCCCCCTCTTTTTACTTCTCCTACCCTCTGTCCTCAATCCCATCCCACCCTACTCTTCCCCAAAGATACTGACCAAGCACTTTTGTACAATAAAGTTTAATCACAATTATAAAAATGTGGCGTTGGGTTTGCACTATTAACATATGTACAATCCAGCCCAACAGGAAAGGCCCGCCCCCAACCGTCCTGGCCTGGCTATGCCAGAGCTCCCAGACACTAGGGTGCAAGGGGGACCCACAGGGTCTGGCAGGAACAGAAGGTGAGGCAGGGTTCCAGGCACGGAGGCCCCAGGACTTGGGGGCATAGGGCCCCCCCAGGGGGAGAACATGGCCACTGCCCCTAGAGACCCCTAAACCGGGGAGGGGTGCACACAGGGCACAAAGGGGAAGTCCCCATTAACACAAAGCAAGGAGGCTATGCAGCCCCCCAAGAACAGGATCTGTACAGGCCGGCACCCCAGGTTTCCACAGGAAACAGCTGCTGGCAGCTACAAAACATTTACAGCTTCTTCTCCGCAAAGAAAAAAAATTAGGAGTTGGGTGGGCAGAGAGGACAGGGGAGGCAGAAGTTGCCTCAAGAGACTGAGGCTCCCTTGCCGGGCTCAGGGGGCCCCCAACCCCATATTTGGAGATGGGGGCATGTGGGCCTTGACGAGCCCACTAAGGCTGGAGGGCTGGGAGCTCAGGGCACCAAGGGGAATAAATAGGGGTGTGGGCACCAGTCCTGCCCACCTCAGTTGAGGGACCCGCGGCAGCTCTCAGTGCCGCACAGACACGGGATCTTGTTGTCCTCCAGCGGAAACTTGTAGTCATAGGTGATCTCCTCATCCACACCAATGGGCTGCTTGGAGTAAATCACAATCTTCTTCTGGGACTCGATGGTGATCACCTTGGCGTAGCAGTTGGGCTGTGGGGAGGGCAGTGTGAGCCACAGCCACCCACCTGCCGTAACCACACCCACCCTGCCCGATCCCCCTCCCCGGCATGGCCCACCGTGGCACAACGCACCGTGCAGCAGTGGTTGATGAACCTTGCCAGGTTGCCGCACTTGGTAGCGTCAATGATGGTGTCATGATCCACCCGGAACAGGTAGCTGCTGCCAATGCCCTCCTGCACATAGCGCTTCTCCCGCATGTCTGCCACCATCTGGTAGGATGTGATGCGGTGGTGAGCGAGCTGCCCCTCAGCTTCCTGTCACACCAGCCTCTATGATGAGGGTCTGGACAGCTTCCCAGCTACCTAGGCCTGTAGCCCTCTCTGGCTTCCACCAGCCCAAGGTGCTGACGACTGGCTTTGCTTCTAGGAACCCTCCCTCTTACGGCCAGCTCCCCATCCTACACATCCTTGGTTGCCATTCTAACTACACCCAAAGACCCCAGGGAAGTCTACACTGGTCACTAGGCGGCAACAGCAGCCACTGGCTTTTCCTGCAGTGCCTGCCTGGCCCACAGTGGAGCCCCCAGACCGCTGTGGGGCTGGGGCAGTTCCTAAGATGACAACGGTCATTTCAAGGACTGAATCCTACTCATCCCTTTAGAAAGAGGATCTTCTAAGACCTTACAAAACAAATACCCACTGGCTGCTGCTGGTTGTCCATGTTAGGATCCAGGTTCTTGTGTGAAGAGTCAGTGTTATTTCCCAGAAAACAGGATGACAAGTCCTCTGTGCTCTCTCCTTGGGTGATCTGTCTCTCCAGGAGTTCAACTGCCAGCTAAGTGGGGGGACTCCTCCCACCTCCCATTTCCAGCCAAGTCCACCTCAGTGGAAGTGCTGGGCGGCATCTTTTAGATGTCCTTCAGTCCCTGGCTTAAACAACACTGTGCTCCCATTGTCCCTGCCTCCCTAGACTACCCCTTTCCCAGCTACCAAAGGCCATTCTTCATTGTAGTTACTTGTTTAGTACCCTAGTAGTAGACATTACTAATTACTGAAGGAAGGAAAAAAAGAGCCAGGTTTCACTGGGTAAGTCTTAGAGCCAGGATGGTATATGGGGCTTTATACAGAGGGTGGATGGCTTTGTGGGCATCCCATGCTGCCATCTTATAGGGGGTTGAGTAGGGGGCCTCACCTGGCGGATGTTCTGACCCACATATTCGATGACCATCTCGTCAGCTGCAATGGGTTCCATGGCAAACAGACCCCACTCGTGGATTCGGCTTCGGCCAAATCGGAGCTTCTTCTTCCGGAACTAGAGAGAAGGCAAGCCATGCTGCTGAACACCTCCCTCAACCTAGCTCCATGCCTTTCCTGCAGACCTCCAAACACGATCTGGTCACTCACCCCCACTCCTACCTATCCCCTAGGGAACTCCATGATGCTGCCTTCAAACTGAGCTTCTCTCCTCCCCAAGTGCTTGCTCCTCACCTTGAGCTGGTTTAGCTTTAGCAGATCACTGTCCATGATGGCTGAGGTGCCGATAGCACTCAGTAGCCGCCGCTGCTCAGACCGGCGCTCCGAAAGCACACGGTTAGTTCCCTGTGAGAAGCAGGACAGGAAGGAGGTAAGTGATAGGAGAAACAATGGAAAGAGGAGGCCAGTCAGTTAAACACTAGGGCACAGCCTCACCTGCATGTCTACTCCTTCTAACTGTCGAGCAGAGACAGGGCACACATCCAGGTACCTGTCCTTTTCCTTCTTGCTGATGGGGTAATAGCCTTCGCTGCGGGCTGAGCCTGTCTGGTGCTCCCGGGGGCCGTCTTGGGGCCGCCGCTTGCGTTTTGGAGTGCTCAGGTTGGTGAGTGCAGGGTGTTAAGGAAGAGAATGGGTTCCTCACTGGTCAGATATCTGAGGCCCCCACTACCCTCTGAATCCCCAGCCCCAGCTCACGGAAAGGGCAGCTGACCTTATCTGGAGGTCCCGTGCATACTGTCAGGAAGACAGAAAGATGGAGAGAAATAAGACTCAGACCCCACCTTTTTTTCCCAGAAAAACATTGGGAGGCAGAAAAAGGCATGAGGAAGAGAAAAGTAGCCAGAGGAGAAATACCCAGGCTGAACATGGCAAAGGGGACGGGACAGCAAAGGAGATAAACACAGACCGGGAGCGCTCCATGGACACCCTGGCTGTGCGATCCTGGAGAGGTCCCCTGGGCCGGGCCTACCCTGGAAAGGCCGGTCGCCAGGGCTCAGGATATTGGTGTGATGGACCCAGTGGGTGTCATTGAGCCAGTCAGCCCCGCTCGTCTGCTGCAGAAGCCGCTCGTACGTGAGCCGCAGGTAGCTCATATCCTCTAAGTCCAGGCCCGAGTTCCAAATGTCGTACAGAATGGTCATCTGCTCAAACTCGCTGCGCGGCTCAAAGGCGGGTGGCGGGGGTGGGGCTGGCCGGCGGCGCCGGGCGTGGGAGCGGAGGCTGCGCCTTCGGGCGCCCGCACTATCGCCACTGGTGCCACTGTCTGACGACTCTGCCCCTGCCTCCTGCCGCGGCCGCGGAGGCCTGGGCTCCTCTGCCTCAGCCACCACCACCTCGGGGGCCTCCAGGACTTCATCCGCTGGGGAGCTGAACAGCGCCGCAGGAGCGGGAACTGGCTCTGGCGGCCTCGGGGCTGGCGCTGTGGGTGGCGGCTTGATGGCCAGGGCGTAGTTGTGCTCCAGGAGGATGTGGCTGAGCAGGGGACCTGGACGGTCGGCCTCGTCCGATGTCTCTGTGGCCTCTGAGTCGTGGCCTACGGGCAGGGCGGCCAGCCCTCGCCGGGCAGGGGTCAGTGCCAAGTCAGCCAGCACTGCCAGGTCCACTTCTGTCCCTGGCTCAGCCTCTTCTTCCTCAGTGGTGCGGCCTCGGCCTCCACCCCGGCTCCGACCTCCTCGAGACACATCCTCAGGCCAGCTCTTGACCAGAGACGCGTGGTCCAGGGGCAGGTTGCGAATGGTCCGCTCCACACCCCGGGGGACTTTGCGGGAAACAGGACCAAGGGACCTGACCTCTGGCGGGGCAGTTGGGGGAGGCTCTGAGGCTGGCGCCTCCTCCACAGCAGAGAAGGAGACAGTTTTCCGGCGTTTCTTGGGTGGGGGCAGGAGGGGGATAGGAGAGGAGGGATGCTCGTTGGCGCAGGTGGTGGAAACTGGGGGCCCTGCCGGTGGCTCTGGGAGAGTCTGGGGCACACTGGCAGGAGGTTCCTCAGTGGAACCTGGGGAAAGAAGCACATAGGGAAAGGGTCAGTTTCTTGGCCCACCATCATCAGGCTGAGAGTCGCTTTGCACAGGAGCTTGGCCAGCTGCGAGGGAGTCCACACCCCATCTGCCTTTTAACAGGCTGCACCCACTCTCTCTTCAGCTTTCAACAGACACTCCTGCTCACTCAGAGAACACACTGGCTGCCTCTCATATCTCTCAGAACTATGGGCTCCCTCAACAAGATGGGATTTTACACCTGCTCACTCATATATTCAACAAACATTTACTGAGCACCAACTATGTGTCAGGTATGGGGAAAACACAAGGAGCAGACACTTCCAAAGCCCTCACAGAGCTTACAGTTCAATGAAGACAATTACATGAAAGAAATGTACAGCCCAAACTCTGAAGAGTGGGGGTGAAGGTGAGGGCTCTAGGGATCAAACACTTGTACTCTAGCCTTTTTACCAAGACTGGGGGTGACATACTACATCAACAAGTA